TTTTCTTTTTTTTTTTTTTTTTTTTTTTTTTTTTTTTTATAGGTCTACGGTAATGATGAATCACTGTTGGCGCAAAAAGGAGTTTCTATCGAGTGGTTGCTGTTTGAGGTGAGTACGGCAAATTAAATCGCTGATTTATTTCTTAATGATATTGCCGACGACTTTACGACGAGCGAAAAGTCTCATTATTTGCGTTTACGTAGTTGTGAAAGGGAGTTTAAAAATATGATTAATAATTTGGCCCCAATTAAGGGGCATTCCAACATTTAAATATTGCAACGGAATGATTCGAGCTTGTCGGAAACGCAATGCCGATGTTGAGCTTTGAAACATTCGAAACGTCGATACACCACCTGAAAATTTATCCATTTTCTGCTCCGGAAGTTAAATCTAGTCACATTAAACAATTGATACAATGCGTGTATTATCGCCTCGAGCTTTCCCGAATAATCATAATGATGATGCGACTTTTTATAAAGCCGTTCTTCGATGAAGCTTTCGAAATAGAAATTCAATTGGCCTGAATGGGTCTGAAGTCACGTTAATCGGAAGGATAATAAATTCTCTAAGGTTTATTAAAGTTTTGGCATACGCTTATTTTGCGTGATATGTACGCACAATCGGGCGTCTCCGATGACGCATTAACGAATAAAATACAAACGAAGCGAAGGACTGTGGCGCTTATACCTGAAAAGCTCGTGGCGAAGACCGAAGACGTCGACACGTAAATTGGTGTGAAAGTTGTTTCGGAAAGCCGGCGATGCCTCGTTACTCCGTTAATATCTTTAAGTCAGCCGATAGTAGATAGTTTAGCACACGCGGGTTAACACAATTGCCGGATCACTTGGTGCTGGCCGAGCAACGATCGCACCACTCTCCGTTATTCAATAAAACACCAACGACAATCGGCTTCCCTCGGCCCAGTGTGTTTTAACGTGTCGTTGGCCGCGTTTACGTCGTGGTCGTCGTCGTCGACTTGTCGCCGTTACGAAGGCGAATGCGACTCTGACTGAAGTTCTCCAAGAATAGTTCGCGGTCCCTCGTGTGTTTCGCCCCCGAGGAAGCGCCCGCGATGAAGAAAGAGAACCAGACGGAGATAGCGAGATAGCGTGCGCGAGACAGAGGCACACACACACACACACACACACATGTGAGAGAGAGAGAGAGAGAGAGAGAGAGAGAGAGAGAGAGGGGACCGGTCTATATATATGCACGCGGGCCTTGTGCGTACGGCGAGGCACACGCATACGTACGCGAGCCACCGGGGAGTTTCGTATGCGCCACTCCACCGCCTAAAGTGCCGGATTGAATCTAAAAGGAAAAGAAAAAGAAAAACAGGAGTGGAGGTAAAAAGATGAGCGAGAAAGGGAAGGAACGAAAAAAAAAGTAATGAAAGAAAGAGAGAAAGAATGAAAAAGACGAGGGAGAGAGAGAGAGAGAGAGAGAGAGAGAGAGAGAGAGAGAGAGAGAGCGATAGGGGGGGGGGGGATAAAGGGGAGATAAGGTGGCTCTTCGCTTTGGCCGTATTGGGTCGAGTCCTTTGGCCATGGGCAGTTTAGCGAAGTCTCCGCGAATCCATAATATGATCATGTGGCGGTTGCTCGAAGGTTTGTTACTGTTGTTATAAGGAATTCCGAGGAGCTCGTATTTAATGGCATGGATTTCCATTCGCTCTCAACGCGTACGGCAAAGTGAGTGAGCTAAGCTTTAATGATTTTCAAGGGTATTTTAAAGAGGATATTTTTAATGGATTTTCAGTAATGCCGGTAATTATCTTCGTGTATTTATAGCTTTGTAAATAGTTGTTCAGTTATAGCGTAAAAGAATAAATATAATTTGATGCTGCTAATGTGTGGATACACACGACTGACTGATTTGGTTTACTTAGATTCATGGAATTGCAGGGCTTTGGCAATTTTTCCGTTTATAATTTTTTCTTTTTTTCTTTTACCATCGTAAGACTACTTGGCAAATTACGTATATAAACGAGCATAAAATGTTTAAATTAAAATCGTCGTTACAATATTATCGTTATCATAGGCCAAATGTCGAAAAAGTTGGTACTGACTCAAATGAAACATCTAATAACGTTGATTGAACAAAAAATATTATTTATAGATCACAGCATAAAGAAAGTACGGAGAGTAAGTATTGTAAATAATGATAGATTTAATGAGTAATTGGATTTGGCAAAGCGAATTGAAAAAGTAATCGAAAATCAATAAGGTGATAAAATAAATGATAAATGTGACATTGGCATGAAAGTGAGTAATTAATAAAGAACGCTGATAAAATAAAAGAAAGAAGAAGAAAGTCTTATTAATTATAACGAAAGACTTAGGCGTATAAGAAAATTCTCAAATTATGAGAATTAACAAACAATAAATTTTTACATTAGTCTTAAACGTATTTACGTCATTAGATCATAGAAATAATTTATGGTCGAGGGTGATATATGGAATGAGTTTTATATTAATAAAGTAATTCTTATAATGTCCATCAATTTCAATTTATTTGTCTGAACCAAGTATATCGAACAGTGAAAAATACGACAATGTCTCATTGATTTTCAAATATCTGTTTACGTGTAAACACTGAAAATCACGATACAGACTAATTATTACAAAAATGTCTCTCAGCTTGTCTATATCAGGCACATACAAAGATAAATGTTTATACTATAATTGAATTCACGCAAGCCTATAAACATAAAGTATATACGATAAGCGATTTTACATAAGACATAAAAAATACTTATTCTAGTTTTTTTCATTATAATGAGAGAGGGAGATAGTTAGAGATAGAGAGAGAGAGGGGGGGGGGAGAGAGAGGAGTCAGCCAGCACTCGACATTGACGCTCGATCAAAGTGTATAGTTTTAAGGTTTGTCAAGTACGTCACCAGCCCCTGTGTATTAATTGTCTCTGCGGTAACTGCAAAGTTATCTCGTCGTTTTATCGGCGAGACCGAGTTAAACATAAATACGAAACACTGATTTTTTTTTTTTTTTTTTTTTTTTTTTTTTTTTTACTCGTTTTCTGCCAAACCGCCGACCTCCCGAGCGCTTACCCACAAACGCCCATTTACCGCGAGGTAAGAAGAATTCGCTCAGTGGGCCATTTCCCGTGACTATTATTGTTCGCGGTCCTCCTCCTCCTCCTCCTGGCTCCACCGACCCCATCCATCGCTTCTTTCGAGCGCTTTCAAGAGAGAGTGGGTGATGGTGGTGGTGGTGGTGGTGGTGGTGGTGGTAATGGTAGTGGGGATAGGGGGTGAGGAGTAGGAGGAGTAGGTAGGAAGAGGAGGAGGGGACTAATCGCCGTCTCGCTCCAGTCCTCGGCGCCAAAAATCCGGCCGGAGTAAAGGAGAGGCGAGAGCGAGGTCGCGATCGGCGTCGCTCGCTTTTTAAAGAAATTCTCCACGTAATCCCCGCTGGCTGACCCGCTGGCCCACATCTCGTGCGTCGACTGAGTCGCGCGCGCGCGCACGCAAAAGCGAGCTGAAAAGTCGCGCACCCTATATGGCCGTGCGCGGTCCTGCGGCCCTCTACGCGCACACAGATAAGGCCATAATGGTGGACTGGGGACGTCCGGGGACGGCGCGACGCGAGCTCACGGCTGCCCACTTCGGAGCGACAAGCCGCATCTGGTCGTATGCCGATCCTAGAGAAGAACGAAGTCGAGAGCGGCTCTGCCCGAATCGACGACGAGCCTTTCTTATTGTCGAGGTCGTCCTCGGCGACACCGGCAGTGGTGACCGAGCATGGCACGGAATTCGATGTAGAGAGTGGGGGGAGAAGAGAAAATATAATAAAGACGCCGGCTGGCTGACCGACCGGTGTTATATCGATCGCAGGACTGCAGCGTTTTCTTATTTATATCTCCGTTCGTTAATTTAATTTTAGAGGTTCAAGTGGTTTGAATGTGGAGAGTTGAAAGGTTGGAGCTTATCGGCATACCTCGATATCTCTTAACGATTACGTCGCGGACCAGAGGATTAAAGGAGTAGATCGGCCAGTACTTTACGTTTGCTTTTTAAACGAATTCTACTTGCGAAACGCTGTAGTCGCGCGAGCGATGACTACGATTGGAGGAGCGTTTATCATTTAAATCTTTTGGGTTTATTGTATGTAGTGTTTAGTAACATCGTTGGACGTTTGTCGAAGTTAATGTCCAAGCCCTCGTATTAATTATTATTATTAATTATTAATTATTAATTATTAATTATTAATTATTAATTATTAATTATTATTATTAATTTGATGACAAATGAGGGGAAGATGAGCATGATACCACTGGTAACGTTATCGTATTGTCTTGTCGAATGATCAATGGATATGATCACAGGAATGATATGCCAGTCTTCCGATAAATAGGCAGTAAAGGATATCGATATAGTGAAAATTATTGCGACACTTTTAGCTTCACGTCATTGTGCCTTTCATTTAGCTCTTCATTTTGAAATCTGTAAAAGTTTGTCGATATAAATTACAAAAATATGTTTGTACTTTTTATCCGAAATTGTCTTTATAATCACTTTTTTATAGAGCCGACTGCTTTTTTGGCCGCTTCGTCGAGATCGTTGGCAGTCAAAATTGGTAAATCAGATTCAGCTAGAAGTTTCTTAGCCTCGTTTACGTTTGTGCCTAAAACAAGGTGGAGAGATTTACTTGAGTAATAGCACTGTCATAAGAGAGAAGTCATTATAAAAAAGTTTATTATCGACCTTCTAGCCGCACAACGAGCGGAATTCTTAGGCCGAGTTTGTGAACAGCCGCAATGATTCCTTTAGCGATGGTCGTGCAATTAACGATGCCACCGAAAACATTAACGAGTATCGATTTCACTTTTGGATCTGCAATAACAATGGTAGTTGTCTGGGAATTTATACATAAAAATTCTTAAATTATAATTGAAAGTAGGATATTTAACATTGGTGGGGCACCTTCGGTGAGGATTCTGAATGCTTGAAAGACTTGATCTTCTTTCACACTGCCCCCAACGTCTAAAAAGTTTGCCGGTGTGCCTCCATTTAATTTTATTATGTCCATCGTTGCCATGGCAAGTCCAGCTCCATTCACTGTTTGTTAACGACAAATATTTAATAATATTCATATAGGATAGTAAATGCGGTGAAGTACGATGAAATCTTTAAATACATTTATGTACTATAGAGCATAGAAGAGAAGATATTTAACATTATCTATTTGAAATAAAAAGATAAGCCCAATTAAGGCCTTCCTTTAGCATTACTCTCGCTTTAGACTTTAGACAAAAACGTATTTTCGTTTCTTACTTCAAATCTTAATAAGCGTCAAAATAAAATGAAATACCCAAGCATCCAATATTTCCATCCATTCCAATGTAATTTAAATTAAATTTCGAAGCATCTACCTCCCGGGGATCTTGCTCGTTAAGATCTTCTAAAGCAAATATATCTTTTTGCCTAAATTCTGCATTATCGTCAAATGATATTTTAGCATCGACGGCGATCACCTCTTCGTTCGTTGTTTCGACCAAAGGATTAATCTCAACTTGCAGCGCGTCAATGTCTACAAACAACTTCCACAAATTTTTCAATTCGTAGACCGCCTTTTCATTCGTTTCCTTTTTCGTGAAACCCAAAAAGTCAGCGACTTCCTTCGCAATCTCATGGTCAATACCATAATATATATCTAACGGTATGGTTTTAATTTTATCTGGAGTTTTTTCAGCTACCGTCTCGATGTCCATTCCACCGGCTGGAGATGCTATCAAAACAGGTCCGTTGTAAGTTCTGTCCATGAGTATACAGACGTACGTCTCTTTAGCAATATCCACCGACTCTGCAATCATAATTTTCTGAACTAAAATACCATCCTTGGAAGTTTGCTTAGTTACCAAGCGATGACCCAACATATTCTTCACGTACTCCGCAACCACTTTTGGGCTTTAGAAAATAAAGAAAATATTGAAAACAACAGTCCTGGAAATTCTAACCTCCCCAAATTACCTAAGCAACTTACTCTTTGGTGATCTGAACTCCACCCTTAAAGCCATTGTCAAACCAGCCCTTTCCTCTTCCTCCAGCCATCACTTGAGCCTTTACCACATACTCCTTGGCATCTGGAATTATATAACATTAGTCGCTATGCAGTTTAAAAGAATCTCTACACTCTCGATCGCTCAAATTATACAATGTTAGCTATAACATAGGATATAGGTAACATCGTTAGCCTAAAAAATCAAATAATACACTAACATTCATTTCTTAAGATTTAATTTATCATACGATATAACGTACGTAATGTCTCCAAGGCCGTGGCAGTTTCCTTTGTGTCCTTAATAATTGCGAAATTTTGTACCGATACGCCGGAATCCCGTAATAACTCTTTACTTTGATATTCTAATAAATTCAATCTTCTAACAGGTAGGGCTCGTAATTGTGTCAAGTTTTTATAAATTCCCAGACAATCCAGAGACTTGCGAATTAAAAAATTCGACATCTTTCTGATCTTCAATAACCACGTACTCAAGAATTCTTAAAGAAAACGCTTAAAATGTAAAAGTAAGTTTATAAATACATATCCATGCACGTACGTATCAGCGAATTACCACAATAAGCGCAACATAATACCGTGAATCATAATAAAAAAAAGCTTACCCACTGCCTTTATTGCCGGCAAAAAAAAAAGAAAGAAAAAACAGTATTTAAATACAAGATAATCGAGACGGGAAGACAAATTTGCACTGCTCTATTCGCTACTTTCACCCGCAAAGTTACGGAGCATTGGCATATCAGTCATGCACACCCAATTGCATTATATCTTCTTGCCATGCGTCCGCGCGTGCGCAGTGATTAGCAGCCGCGGCAGTTGTCGCAAACTTGACGACGTGAAATGCTTTTGACAATTAGGACTGGGAGGGGGAGTTAAAGGGCCTGTGTTGACACTCCTCGATTTTCGAATGAAATTTTTGGTCTGTGACTGCTACTTTGCGACATCGCGTGGATCAATAATAGAGCCCGAAAATAGCAATGGTGCCTAAGGAAGATAGCGATGTGGATCAAGAAGATGTTCAAGTACCGGGGATTAAAACTTATTCTTTAGAAAGTGAGTTGTTCGGCGGTGCGCTTCTTTAACCTAAAATTTAATTGAACCTGCCATATGTTTTTGCTAGTATCGATTTCAAAGACGACGATGCATTATTCGCTTATGTCCTTTACTTTTCATTATTATTGTGCCTGATTTTCCTTTGGCTGTGTTTCAGTATTGAAAATCATCAAAGAAGCCCAGCAGCAACATGGATTGAGACACGGCGATTATCAACGGTACAGAGGGTACTGCTCACGACGACTGCGACGTCTTCGTAAGGTTCTTAAGGTTCCTCAAGGGGATAGGCGGCATTTCAAACGCCGAGACATAATAGCCTCGATGGTTAGCGAAGATAAGTTTTTACAAATTCCATTGACTATGGCGGAGCGAGCTTGGAGTTACGCCATGCAACTGCGTCAAGAGTCAAACACAGAGCCTAGAAAGAAATTTCATTTGATTTCAAGATTGAGAAAAGCGGGCAGTCATGCATTAGAATTGCAACAGCTCATTGAAGTAAGAGTAATTAAAGAGTCGAAAGACTATTTTAATTTTAAAAGCCGAACGCACCTGTCGACCTATAATCGAGCCAAATTGAACACAATGGTGTAATGATTCCTGTGCACGTACTTTCGTTTTTATGCCTATGGTTCGCTTGTAGCTTGTGACGTTTAAATGTTCATAATTTAACGATGTGTCATTGTCTTAATTGTAAAATTGTTTTTAAATTTCACAGAGTATCGATTGCGATCCCCGAACAAAATTAGAAGCTCAAGCGTACGTCGCCTATATCCAAGGATCGATAAATTTTGAATTGCAATCTTGGGTGCCAGCGATGGAGAATTTCAAAAAAGCTCAAGTTGTTTATGAAAATCTGGCCAAGGCGTTACCCGAATCCGAACAAATTATATACAAAGCTCGCGTTGAGGAATTAGCACCAAATTTGCGATACTGTGCGTACAATATAGGTGACACCACTGCCATTGACGATCTAATGCAGATGCGAGGTAAACTAAGCGGTGAATTATTGAGCAACTTAGATTCATTGATAACACAAACTCGTGACAAGCAAGTCAATTCTGAAGAAGTATTCTGGCGTGGGAAATCTTGTGGTATCGTCCCGCCAAAGGCTGCCTCTCTATTAATGGCTGATTCTAGGCTCGATAATACACTGGACAAGCTTGATAAAAACCAGGCCAAAATTGAAATTCTCGAAGCACATTTAATAGATTGTAAAGACGCTGTCGCAGCTGTTCGCGAAGAATTCAAGAATGATTTGAAAATTAAAGATGTCGATAAAGCTCCGCAACACTTACTTACCTATTTACAGTACATTAGACTCTCTCGAACACTCGATAGAAATTTAATATTAGTGAAAATTGCAGAGGAGTCAGAGAAGACTAAATCTCAAGATATTGTACGATTATACGAAGCTGCGCTTCAGAATCTTGTGGAAATGTCAAGACTGCAAGTCGACGAAAGTTTCTTGCAAGAGCACGACGCTAAGACAAAGAGTTATAGAGCCTTTCGATGCTTCTACATGGCCAAATCATTGGCCAACCTTCACAGATGGCGTGAAGCAATGGTACTGTACCAGAGATCTTTGCAACACGTCAAAGATGCAATGGAACATAAAATTCTTTTACCAAATAGTTTGAAAAATGAGTTGATTAAACTCGAATCACTGATCGAGGGAGCCCAGTGTGCAGCTCATGCACACAGTGTTTTAGAAGACGGTCAAGAAGAAGATATAGGTATTAATAAGCAAGTGAAAAATAAAAAAATGCTTGCAGAACGATTGCACGAGTATGTAGAAGATCCATCGTTGTTAACCAAGCAACCAAACATTTGTAAACTACCACCTCCAATGCAAAGTATTCCATGTAAACCATTATTTTTTGATTTAGCATTTAACATGATCGAATTTCCTGATTTGTCAGATAAGCTCCAAGAGCAAGATAAAAAAGGTGAAAAAAGTGGTCTTGCTGGATTGGTCAAGGGACTTTGGGGATGGGGTAATAAGTAAATTTCGTTTGTTATTTTTTGTCAATAAATACATTTATATCGTGAATGAAATATATTTTCTTGTTTATAAGATTTTTAATGCATTGTATTAATGCATTGGATTGTTATTATAATAAAACTTCCAATTTAAAAGACCAAGGTAATGTAAAAAATTATTATTCCTAATTTATCATTTTCGGTGGTTGGTAGCAATGAAAGAACACAGCTACGAAATTTTGGTATTTACCGAATCAGAATTCATGTGTGACAACGGTTTTATACGCATATTGTAATAACGCGATTCAAGATCTAAATAAATTATAAGTTAACAATCGAAAGTGAATTTGTATTATAATTTTAATTCATATATATATGAATGTATATAGACACCCTCGCACGCACACACACATATATGTATGACAAATTTTGATTAGTTTTTTAACAATGAAAATAGATTTGAAAGAATTAGCTGCAGAGCTTTACGATGTCGGTGCTATTAAATATGGCAATTTTGTAACAAAAATCGGACTCCCAACTCCAATTTATATCGACTTGAGAGTCATTATTTCTTATCCAGACTTATTAGTACGTTTGATATTAATTTTTATTTAAAAGAAACATTACGCTCTAAATCAAATATTTTATTTTTTTTTTTTACTGTTTGTAAGAAAAATGAAATACTTTATGCGTTTAATAATTTGAATATACCTGTTGAAATTATAACTATTAAATAAATCATGACATTCAATTATTTCAGCTTCGAATATCAAAGTTTCTCTGGAATCTTACAGATGAGCAGAATTTTACACACATATGTGGAGTGCCGTACACTGCTTTACCTATAGCTACAGTGATTTCTACAGAGTCATCTATACCAATGCTAATACGAAGAAAAGAAGCAAAATCCTATGGAATGAAAAAAATGGTAGAAGGTGTTTTTAAATTAGGAGACAGGCCAGTTATAGTAGAAGATATTATAACAAGTGGTTCTAGCATTATAGAAACTGTTACAGATTTAAGAAAGGAAGGTCTTAATGTTAATACAGCTCTTGTGATCGTAGATAGAGAACAGGGTGGTAAAAAGAATTTGGAAAATGCAGGTATCGCTGTTAAAAATCTGTTTACCATAACGGAACTTATAAATTATCTGCACGAAGCTGGAAAATTAACGGATGAATCTGTAAACGTAATAAAAGACTATATTAAAATAGTTAAAGCACCATTAACAAAAACAGATAATAACGATCGCTTAAAGTTAGATTTTATCTCGCGTTCGAAACTGTCAAAAAATCCAATGGCTATTAAATTGTTTAAATTAATGTACGAGAAGCAGACAACGCTTTGCTTAGCAGCTGATTATAGAAAAAGTCAAGAAATTCTTGATCTCGCAGACATTGCTGGATCACATATAGCTGTTTTGAAAATACATGTAGACATCATAGAGGATTTTGAAAAAAGTTTTGTGGAACAAATAAAACATATCGCCACAAAACATAATTTTCTCATAATGGAAGATAGAAAATTTGCTGATATTGGTCAAATTGTATCATACCAATATAAAAATGATGTTTATGCTATTTGTGAATGGGCTGATTTAATAACAGTGCATCCAATTTCTGGAAACGGTATATTCCAAAGTATTAAGAATGATTTTGATGCTATATCACACGATAGAGGAATTTTCGTAGTAGCAGAAATGTCCTCGGAAGGAGCATTGAGTATGGGCAATTATGTCACATCCGCTATTACTAACTTCAAAGATACAGATTTAGTCACTGGCTTTGTTTGTCAAAAGAATAACTTCACGGAACCAGGCCTCATTCAACTTACACCAGGTGTTAAACTTACCGAGTCTAATGATAACTTTGGCCAGCAATATAATTTGCCACAATATGTTGTTAATTCAGGGGCAGATTTAGTTGTTGTTGGTCGAGGAATAACGCAAGCTAAGGATAAATTAGCATCTGTTTTACAATATAAAAAAATTCTTTGGGAAACTTATGAAAATAGAATAAAATGTTAAAGATCTTTCATAGAAATATCTTAATTTAATTTTGTTAAATATTGGATATTAAAGCAAAGTGACTAAACTAATCTAGGAAGTTGAAAATATGTTTTTAATATTTGCGATTTATTATTAGTTAATAAATTAAAGTTTCATGGCTTTATAAAAACTAGAAATTTTTTTAGTCTAGTGAAATAAAAATAAATATGAATAATATATTTCTGATATCACTTATGATAAATATACCTTTATTTTTTATGACTATCTTAGCTTTGTACAAATAACAAAAACATATTACTTTTTATACGTTTATATAGTAAAAATATTTTTATATTACAATAATGTAAAAAATCGCAATTATATAATAGAAAATTTTTTAAATGAAAATGTACAATTTATTTATGCTTCTTTACTTTTGGTTATTTCCAATACTATTTTACTAAAAGCTTTTGACATTTCACTGTCTGGATACATTTTTAAAATACTGTGGCCTCTGAGCTCTAATTTACCAATTGTTGGATCAATAGGCACTTTAGTTATGAAAGGTACGTTTACCATTTCTGAAAGAGAGACTCCACCGTTAGAAGAGAATATGTTTGTGCACTCCTACAAAAGCAATTTTCATTTCATGAATTTTATTGTAAATATGAAACAATGTTATTGAAATGGCAGATAACTTACCGAACATGATGGGCAAACAAAACCACTCATGTTTTCAACGATACCAACTATTGGTATACCGGTTTTTCGGCAAAATGTAATTTCTTTTAAGACATCGTCAACTGACACTGCCTGTGGTGTAGTAATAACAATTGCACCATCGCATTTTACATTACTAAAATAATAATCGTAATTTACAATCGGCTCATGTTAGAAATCAACGTACGTGTTTCAATTTATTCTATCGTTAAACATCTACTGACTTAAATTTGTTATTAATTAATAGCACTTAGTTATACATCTAAATATAAATCTTAAATTATAACTAAAAAATGTGACGCTTACGTTTGTGCATTACATTTGCATATTTATTTAAAATTCAATTCAATTCAAATTCGTTTCAACGGTCACAGATACTTTATAAAAACGTACCGTAAGTTCTCCATTACTGTTATATGCTCGTCAGAAGTGCCAGGTGGAGTGTCAATAATAAGATAATCAATATCTTGCCAGACAACATCCGTTAAAAATTGCTTAATCATACTTGTTTTTTTAGGGCCTCGCCATACTATGCTATCATTTCGATTTTTCAATAAAAAACCTATTGACATAACTGCTAACTTTTGTTCGGAATCGGCAAAAACTGGTACCCACCTATAAACAATTATCATTTCATTATTAATCATTTCAAATAGAATCAGCGATTTAACTCACCCTTCGCTCGATTGATGAACATCTTCAACTTCTAAGTCTAATAAGTAGGGTATGCTCGGTCCACATAAGTCAATATCTAAAAGACCTACCTACAATTGGACGTTTATTATTGAAATTAATAGGAAGACTAAGATATAACAGGATAATTTAATTAACTACGAATAAACAATTACTTAAAAGGCGTATTTATAGAAATTATATTGACCAACACTTGAAACATCGTACCATTATAATATATACAATATTGTCATGACAAATAAATAATTATATTTTGTTCAATTACAATTAATGAATTTTAAAATAAGATTGTAATTGTGCTGTTACTGGGCTAGGAAAAATCAAAACATGACTATTTACGAAAAAGACAGAAACATGTGATATAAGAATTTAAAATATAGTTCTAAAAAATAAATACAATTTTTGCTTAAACATCGACGAGCAATTAAAGTCCTTTAAATACTTTAACAAAACAAAAAAACAACATAACCTTTAAGATACCTAATAGGTACTCACTTTAAAACCAGATTCTTTGAGAGCAAGGGCTACTTGTGAGCTTACAGTTGATTTACCAACACCACCTTTGCCCGAAAGTACTAAAAATACATGCTTCACACTTTCGAGCATTTTGTGATATATAAATAGTTTATTAAAATATTAAAATCTGATATAGACTAGTTTCTTCGGTTCTCACCTCTCCACACTGCAACTCGGTAACGATAAATCAACTATACATTATTATTAGAGGAAGTATTGTTGTTACTTGTGACACGAAGAGGAAATTTGTAGAATTTTATAGTATAATTCAACAATTTTCCAATCTTAATCGTAGCTATGGGATTTTCTTAGCTCGCAAGCTTAGCTTGCGGTTCATTCTATTCTCATGTTATGTTGAGCTTTAATTTATGTTAAGTACCTCCTTTCTTTAGCTTAACTTAGTTAATTTTTAGAAATTCTATGAAAATGAAGGAAAAACATATAATCGATTTAACATTTCATATTTGTTTGTCGAAGATCAACCATAAGTCAGAAAAGCTATTGGTTTACGATTAAATTCTCCTGTTATTGATATAAAAACTTATGTACTGTCGAAAAAGAAAGAAAAAAAAGAAAGAAAAAAGGTGAATCAAACTGCATTTTCGATATATCAAAACCAAATTTGTCTACAAGTGTTGACTTATTTTATCGATAAAAGAAAAAAAGAATAATAAAATGATATTGAAGTCACTTTAATTACGAATATGTTTTCTGTGCATTTAAATTTGTCTTACGAGCTGTCACTATGTAATTTTAGTACTCTAAATGTGAAAAATTTTAAGATGGACATTACCAAGGTCAAAAAATCCATCAAATATCATCTACCTACACTGCATGCTTAGTTTTCTTATTCTGAAGAATATTATAAAAATAAATATCAATATTAATCTTATAAATATAAAAATGAAATTGCGTGGATTAACAATTAAGGGAAATTTTTACAGAAGTCGGTGTTATCAAATATACAAACGAAGATACATAAAATATACAACAACTATTTAAAGAGTATAACTTTTCTTTATCAAATATTTTATTAATTAATTACACAGATTTAATAATATAAAGCTTGAATTTGATCAATATAAATAATATAAATAATCGGAGCTCTGCTTAAGCAAGCCTCTAACATTTCATAATTATCTAAAATGTACGATAAAATTTAGTGATCGTAAGCTGTAAATACGATAAGAGCGTGACAATTACGTAATATTTAAAAATAAATGATTTAAGTATCAATAATTAAAATGAGCAATTATATATCGTTCACTGCAATTGTAAATTAATCATATTTACGATCTATAAATTTATTAAACTATCGATAAGAATTACATGTAAAGGTCAGAGTATTCAATTGCTGTTTTGTTTGTTTGTTTTTTTTGTTGTTTTTTTTTTTTTTTTTTAATTTTGTTGCTTTCGCTTACAAAAACATTCGTGCGAGAAAATATGCCATCTCATTGCCATTGGTATGGCTGCGATTTTCATCAACTAGCGTTAGAGATTTTTTTCTCCATATTATTATAGAAATGGGCTATTATGGAAGTATATTTTTATTAATGGAATATCATGAAATATGTTAGTTGGGATACAAAGTTATGCCAGAACTTTTAAGTATTGGAGCGAGAGTAGGCCGAAAAAATGGGAAATTCATCAAAAATAATTAATAAAAGGAAATATAGTGCGATGGATTTATGTAAAAACGGTTTAATTGAAAAAACATTTTTTTTTTTTTTTGACTCTCACATTGATAAAAACGTGAAAATAAAAAAATCATCAATGAAATGTTTAATTAAATTAATTGTTGAGACAAATTTGTGTAATCTTCGATAAAACACCTATTAATAATTAGATCGTTTACAAGTCTGTAGTATTTGTTTGAACATTCGTTTAATTTATATATACCATAGAAATTAATTTGTACAAAATCGTCTTGAAAACATAGACATTTTTACGAATTTAACTTAATTAAAATGTAAATCTTCGTTTGTTTCAGTTTGTCCAAAAATTTAAGAAAATTCTAAAACGAATAGATTGTTTATTAAACAAATAGTATATAAGATGTTCGTCAAATATTTACATACATCATCTCAGTTTATTGATTAAAATTACATTTATCTAAACATAGTATTATGTAATGAAATAAAATTACAAATCAATGTTTATATATATAGTTATAGAGGTGACTTTGATAATGTTTTACCGTAGACATTTCAAGTAGAAAATAAATTTATATGCTTTTGAAAGGTCCTACATTAAGTTTATCGAGACTTCAGACTTCTTGAAATTTTAATTGAAAATAATGTAGCCAAGTAAGAAAAAAATTATCTATCCGAATGTTAAGACGCAACATCGCATCTTATTTTATCTCAGGGATATTACAAATAAATAAAGTTATCCGCAATATAATTGCCATATTATTTATAACGAGAATCGGTGGATTATTAAGAAATACGAGGTCGTAGCGCCACCTACGTTTTACCTACTAATTTTATTATACTAAAAATCCATTGGATTTTTAATGTTTTACCGCTATAGTGGAGGATAGATTTTTCTTGGTAATGATGAGGCTTCTTTGTAGTTAATCAATTTTAAATTATAAACAATCTGGTCGGTGAAGAAGAGGTTTCATATTCTCGCAATGCATGCTGCTGACTGCCACATTGAAGGGAGTAAATCGAACATCGAGGTTTATTATAAAATAGCAAATTACAATTTGCGTTTACAGTATTGCGTATAATAATTAAATTCTGTTATCCATCACTTGATAAGCTTTAAACGAAGTGATAATGTGTTAATGTGGTACAGTAGCCTGTTATTACGTGCATAAGAAATGCCGTTTCCAAGATTTTAATTGAATCTCATCAAGTTTATAGGAGGAATGGTTGATTGATGTCGAATGGATGGAATTTAGCCCGATTTTCAAGATTATTTAAGGTTAATTTAATTTTAACTTGTTTTCTTTAAAGTATAATTTATTTTGTATATTTGGAAATTTTATTGAATTATGTTGATGTTTTTAATGGCATAATACCTTGGATTAACATGAAATAATTAATTCTAATTTTTCTAAGCCTTAATGCCGATTTTTATAGTATAAAGAAATTAATTAAATCAAAAATGAGAAGGAAACCAGGAGTAGGAGCGATTCATAAGCAAAAATATGAACAAGAGCGATATAAAGATAAAGGTACGGAGCTTCAGGAGAATCAGTTTGAACAGATGACTAAGCAGTTGGAAACATTTCGAATAAATTTAGAGGATTTTGCTTCTAAGCATAAGAGCGAAATAAAAAAGAATGCACAATTTCGTCGTCAATTTACAGAAATGTGCGCATCGATTGGCGTCGATCCTTTAGCATCGGGTAAAGGCTTTTGGTCAGTTCTTGGGATTGGAGATTTTTATTATGAAATTGCAGTTCAAATTGTTGAGGTATGCCTCGCAACAAACTATAAAAATGGAGGATTGATATCTTTAGATGAGTTGAGAGATCGTTTGGTTCAAGCAAGAGGACGTCGTAAAGAACATCAAGAGATAACGAACGAAGATCTATTAGCATCGGCTAAAAAACTTAAAATATTAGGAAATGGATTTTCCGTTGTTCCTATTAGTAAAGGAAAATATTTAGTACAATCCGTTCCAGGAGAATTGAGTATGGATCATACAGCTGTTTTACAGCAGACAAACAATACAGGAAATGCATTCATTTCTAAATCCTTGTTACAAAAAGAATTAAAATGGGAAAGCGAAAGGGCTCAGAAGGCATTAGATCATATGGTTAAAGAAGGATTAGCTTGGATCGATAAACAAAATGGAGATGAGCCTTTGTACTGGTTTCCAAGTTTGTTTACCGCTTGCATTGCTTCAAAAACATAAAAATTTCAAATGTATTTACTAACAATTAGATTTTCATTGCAAATTTAATAAAATTTCTTTGTATAATTCATATATTAATAATAATTAATATAATTCTAATTGTTCACTCAATACAAATTTTTCATCTTTAAGTTTCGTTTCATTAGTGAATATCTCTTAATAAACGTCACACATAAATAATAATAAATATCTGTAAAATCAAATTATCAAAGTATTAAAATTGCATAGATAAAGTATATTACAAATAAATTGTATAAAAAAAAACTAGATTATCATATTAAAAATATTTTTTTATGTAACAAAATTATGTATTTTAAAAATAAATTATGTTACTGTTTTAACTGTGTAAGTGTACTTTTGAGCAAAGGTCACCGATTTTCCATATTTCTATTATAATTTTCAACAAATTGTGTATTACAACGAGCAAGAAGTTGTTGATAAAAGAGTAATTCTCTAGTCAGATTATCATTTTGTTTTTGTAAAATACTAATTTTGGTTTTAAATTCTTCGGTACGTTTTTCAAATTTTGACGTAAGTGAATTAGCTTCTTCTTTCCATCTGTGAATCGCATAAAGATTATTTAATTTAAATTGAAGCATTTAATAGCTTTATGTTCTCATAATAATTACTTGTTGCTCAATTTTTGATGAGTTTCAACGTGATGAGTTAATTCCCTCGTTTTCTTATCGAATTTCTCTTGCAGTGCCATACTTGCAATTGATTTGAGGTTTATCAACCTAATAAACATGAAATGTAATTTCCAAATAATTTCAAAATAGACATTAATTATTGTATTAAATTATATATTTAATATTTACGTTCGTTGTTCGTTATTTCGTTTATCCAATGTACAATCAGATAATGTTTTTGTTAAATGAATAGATCTTTCTGTATTTGTAATTTTCTCCTGTAAATCATGAACTTTACTTTCGAGTAAAATTTTTTCATGATTTCTTCTTTGTATTTCTTTCTCAAACGACATTTCTAATGCATGTAAATTATTGCTTAAATACTCTTTGTCAATAAGTGCTCGAGATAACTGCCTTTCAAAATTTGAACATTTTTCCATAATTTCTCTTGTGTGATCATTTCCTTCTCTCGTATGATCTTCCGAACCATTTAAGTTCTGAAATTGAAAGAATCTCAATCTTTCACTGGTATTAGACAGCTTCTCTTGTAAATTACCAATCTTCTGTTCTAAAAATTGAATTCTTTCATCATAAATAGCTTTTTTACAATTATCTTCATTTGTCTGTAATGTACATTCGTTTCTTTGTAAATTTTGTTCACCATTGGAAATTTTCATATTTGATTTAGAGAATAAATTATCCGAGCCTTGTCTAAATTTTTCTAATTCTTCCTCAACTAGCCTATAGTCTCTTTGTGATCTATCCAGTAATGTACCCTGCTCTCTTAATTCTGACTTCAATTCCTTTATTTCTAATAAATATTTTTTAATATTTTTATTATAAGTTTCTTTCACTTTAAGCATCTCTGCTTCCAAATGAGCTTTATATTCTTCGGATAATTTGGATAGGTGTAATTCAAGTTTCATTTTTTCTTCAATTACTCTTGCTTCCCTTCTCAAAATAGCTTCTTTTTCTTTGACTGCAGATTCTATTAAATCAACAGCTTCCGACACTTTAGTTTTAGCTTCATGATCTTTTGAAGCCATAACAATTGCATATTTTTCGGCTTGTTTTAACCTCTTTTCTAAATCTATTTTTATTTGCTTGATTTGTTTCAAATCATACTTAGCTTCACCTAGATTTCCTTTCAATGAATCTATCGTTTCTTTAAGGTTCGATTCTTTTTCCATTGATTGTTGCTGATAAATACTTAATTGTTGAATTATATCATTTTTTTCTTGAATTAATTGCTCGATTCTGTATTTACTCTTTTCGCATACCGTTTGTTGGGTAAAAAAATTTTCTTTAGCTGCTACAAGTTTTGATTCAAGTGTAATTATTGCTTCTGAGTACGTTTCTTTAATATTATTTATTTGTTCTTGATAAAATTGTGGATTCTCTGTGGCACTTGTGTCTTTTTTGTAAATAGTTTTAAGTTCATTCTCCATAGCATCGATAGTTTGTAAAGACATTTGCCAAAGTTGAAAAACAGAATCTTTTTCCATTTGTAAAATTGTAATTCTTTTCTCAAGATTCGTTATAGCTTCATGATCATAAATAACACTATCACATTTTTCATGATTGCACTCCGCCAAAGACCGATTAATATTATCATTAGCATTTTTATTTTCTTTCTGAAGACTTTCGATTAGCGAACGAAGCTTATTTTGTTCCAACTAATTCAACATTGACAGGACAAGATATAAAATTACATTAATTACCATAAGATTTATGAAAATTATTATACTTAATATTTAAAGCTAACTATACCTTACAATTACCTAATTCTTCTTTTAACGAAGTAATAATTGATTCATATTCGTGTAATATTGTATTTTGATCAACGAATCTGTAACAAAGTTAGGTCGTACAAGTTTATGTAAATAACATTCTCATAACCTAGAACTTACTTGTGCTGAAACACTTTTGCCTCTACTTCAGTTGCTGATTCTTGAAACATTTTTTACTTTTACAGTAACAAATGAATAAATATTAGATAATAGGCTATAATTGCTAAATAAATATATCATACTCATTATACGAAGTCGGTAAACACATTAGACGCAAACTCTTGTCCCATCCCAATGAAGCGTCCATTTTTAAATAAAAACAATATACAAACTACACTTGCTCCAAAAATTGGAAGCACATTATGTTTTATATGTGTTTGTATTATTGAAGACATGACATGATTAAGTATTGAAATCAAAAAATTACGTTACCAATTGATATGAATACAAATCAAATTCAAGTTCATTATCCGTTTTTCAAATGGCAATTGTTAAAATTGAGAGAAAGTGGGGTTAAATAAAGTGTTGTGTAAGCTTTTATAGAATACGAATTGATATTTTGAAGGAAAAGAAAACATATATATATATATATATATAAATTATTTAATTAATCATCTATAAAAATTGTGTAATAAAAATGTATATATTAATAGCGGATTGTATGAAAAGTAATTATCTACTGAAATTAAAATGTTTTGGAAATTGAAAAATTTGAAAATTCTATTTCATAGAATTTGGTAATAACTGCCAAGTAGAATGTAAAAGAATATATTTTTACACGATATTGTATAAATATATAAAATTATTGTTTTAAGCGACTAAAAATAACAAGTATCAGTATTAAATTTGAATGCATATTCGAACACTAGTAAGACTAATTTGTTATTTAACGTTATATCAATTAATAGTTATAGTAATTAAAATAAAATGTCAAAAAAAAACAAAAAAAAGTACTGGATTAAAAAAATTTAATGCAATGTATATTATATAATATTTAAGTAAAATAAAAATATAGCGGTAGTTTACCAAAGTGAAATATAAAGTATTTTTTTCTTTTCATAAATTAATAAAAACATCTACTCTTATATTTTAGCTAAAACATGCTGAGTTTACATATTTCAATAATAAATTTTTTTTAAAATGTTCTTTTTTTTACATTAAAAAAAAAAGAAGAAATTTCTTAAGTTTTAATTAACATAATAATTCAAAATTGTATAGATAGATACAACGCAAAAAACATTTATTATCGATATTTGTTTTTTCTTTTTTAATTATTTTATTTCCAAATTACCAAATAAAAGATAATTTTTATCAAACTGAATTAAAAGATGACTTTTACGCACATAAACAATGTAGAAACGTAAACACAATTTTAAATTTCCAAATAAAATATTTTAACAATATATTGCTAAGATTTATACAAATTTATGAAATAGTACGAATATTTTAAAATAAGCGCAATGAAATAATAATGATAAGATTAATGGTATTTTGTATTTTTGAAAAACTAAGTGAATCCTAGCATTGTTGAATTTATCATTATAATGTAAATTTTTATATTAAATGCTCATAAAAGTTGACAGATTTATATTGATTCATTTTCGAAAATTTCGAGCGTTTTACATTGATACACAATAAATTTTTTTATTATAAAATGCTTAAGAATAATCTTTAAATGGTTTAAATAATCACGATAAAAAATTAATTGCACCAAAATCAGAATATAAGGAAAACATTAATAATTCTATGATCAAACATATGCTTTACAAGGATTTTCTTCACCCCGTAAATAACGATTTAAAGGCGTGTTGGGAAAATATTTAAATAGAGAATTATGCTTTACTTTTCAGATACAATTAAATTTCTCATCATCTGGTAAAATAAAAAATAAAAAATAAAAAAAAGTGGTAGTATACTCGAATAAAATATAAAACATGTATTATTTACAATAATATTTATGTTCTGCAATAGTAATATTTGACTATATTGATGGTTGAAAAGTACGTATAACCGCCTTAATAACTTGTACATTTATCTACGATTCGGGAAGGTAACAGAAAAATAGTTAACACAATCACTTATATCATTTGGATTATCGAATAGAATTTTCCACTAATAACAGAAGAATGCGCTAACTGCGAAGGTATGGCAAATTAAATAAGGTGAAACCAAGAATTTAAAAACGAGACATAATAAATTTATTGAATGCATTCTTTCATATAATTACGTATGATTTCATTATAAAATTTCGAGGGGTGTGATAAATATATAGTGTGATAAATATTTTGTTATTTATCTAGTACTCTTATTAAATTGTTCATAAAATTCCGAGCTGGGCTTATTTTTATAAACCTGTCGATTTAAGTAATCTTGATGCTTTTTATGTTGTTGCGCCAATTGTCGATTTTCCTCGGCAATCTGCTTGTTTAGCTCGCTATAAAATACAAGAAAAAGTGTCAATTAAAAAAAAAAAAATAAACAAATAAATAAAAAATAATCTCTTAACGCTGTTTTTGTAAGTTTATGCTATATATATATATATACATATATACGGATATGTATGCTTGTCTATATATATATATATATATATATATATATATATATATATATTACGCTCTTTTGCGATCCAACTCCCGCTGATAAGATTCCGCAGCTCTGGCGTTACCGTTCATCAGTTTATCCCAGTTTTCGTTTTTCTTATTTTCTTCCATTCTCATTCGCTGTAACAAAAACAAAACAAAACAAAAAATGAATTCAGCAATACTGGTATCAACAAAAATGTACGGAAGTACATTAAAGCAAAACTAATGCAATATAAAATGTCGAGGCTAATAAATGATTCCAGACACTCTCGGTCTACATAGAAACGAGAAAAGTCTAATCATTCCGATTGTATTACATGCAATTTAATCACAACAAATACAATGTTTCAACGAATCATCGAATGCACAATGGGACTGGTCCTTTCAATTTCACTCAAAGTTTTCACTATTTCACTATTAGACAAGCCATAATTGTAAATCTCATAAGCTAGTTTTTTAATTAAAGCAAAGCCTGCTCGTTCTAAAGTCCTCCGGCTAGTCAAAGCCGACCAAGTGTGAAAATTCGGCGCACTCGACAATACCGAATTATCGTTCGAAGAAGTCATCGAGCGAAAGCGGCTCGTAATGCAACCAATTATAAGCCATAATTTTCCCCCACGACGGGTCCACCCGAAACAGCGAAGTAGCGCACGATTAGCCAAACCTCTCGCGAACAAAAGCGAAAGTACCTGGATCTCCTCCATCTGTCTCGTCTGCTCGTTCCGATAAAACTGAAGCTCATCCAAGGTCATGCCCTTGTAGCGGTTAGCCAGAGGCCGACCGGGTCCCCGGGTGCTTTCAGCCTGGTCCTTGGACTCCGTAAGGAAATCCCCGGTCACGTGGTTGTAGATTTCCGCCCGCTTGTCCTCGTCGTCTTGGGCCTCGAGGTTACGTTGGCGCTGCTCCTTCTCCTTCGCCTGTTACGATAACGCGAAAGCGCCCGATAAAACGCACTCGTAGGGCGGGCCATTTCGTTCTCCGACATGCTACGTCTAATCACGGAAATTTTGCTTCAAATCTATTTCAATCTACTTAATCTACATCAAAGACAATTCGCTGACGTACGAACACGTACTACTCGGCCAATCGGCTTCAATCGTATACATTTTTCTTAATGCTTAATGGTCTGTATCGAGGAAATAAATATAATAAACCGAAACAAAAACAAAAAAACTGAAATAAAAATGATGACACTTTTGTTTAGTCCGGTTTGGAGTTTTATTGGGCATGAAGAGTGACATTGAAAATTGAAGGAAAAAGGGCGTGTTTTAGAGTTGCGATATCGAATCGAATTGCTTGTGAATACTACAAGTGGAGACTCTGATTTTGTTTACTTTCCTTTCACCGTCTCTTTTCTTTAAATTTTTTATGGGAAATGTATAATTTCACATCGTGCGCAAAACGATAGCGATATAAATTTCTTGCGCAATTTGTATTTCCCATCAAATTGGCAATTTACAAATTAATGCAATAATAATGCAATAAATACATTTATATATTCTACCGAGTTTGTAATTAAAAATTAAAATTTTGTATAGTCCTCCGTACGTGGGCGAAGGCGCCAACAACGACGACGATGTGAACAGTCGCACCGGCAGCCATAAAAAAATAACAAAGTACATTTGCCTGACGGACGAATCACGTGGTCATGATGAGAAACGAACGCAAACGCAGAGAAGGTTAGATGAGATGGGTCGTGAGGTGGCTGGGGCTCGTCTACGAACCAGAGCTCGATTGAACTTGGCGGTGGCTTCGTTGAGTCGTCGTCGACAATCTCGTTCCGAGGTCTCGAGGGCCATCGCCCGGTTGTCCCTAGAGAGGAGCGCATCCTGGTACTCGCGCTCGGCCTCGAGTCGCTCCTTCTCGGCGAGTCGCCGCTCCTGCACCTGCTGCATTATCCAGCTCAGCATTTGCTCCTTCTGCTCCTTCCTGCGACACACCAAGTTCGCGTCCTCGCCCTCGAATCTGCAATTACGTAGCCGAGCTGAGTCGTCGCCGGCCTCGCGAGTCCGCTTTTCCACTCCCGAGGCCTGCCCTTTCTTTCTTCGCGCGACGAATAAGGACCGATCCCCCCTCCATACCCCTCCTTCACCATCTACCCGCCCCGCGACACAAAACAACTTAAGTGTGTCGCTCGTTTTTTGCCGCGTACTCACTGAATGGGTGGCTCGTTTGGCTCTTTCAGCAGTGTCGCGTCGGCATTTTTTCCTTCGATTTATGGGATGTTCCTGTTAGGTTCGGAGAATCGTGATCCTCCGGGGGGAAATTGACTTTGACGTTCGCCGTTACGTATGACTCAATCGAGCCTTCGGTATTTCATGTATCGTCGATTTTACTGTTCCAGCGATTAGGCGCTTGGGTACGGCGGACTCGTTGATAAGAAGATGCGTTTTGCAATTTAACGAGAGCGTGCTTAGTAGTGAGAACGAATAGTTAATAAAACTTTAATCCAACCAGAACTCGACTCGAATTTTTTTTTTTCTGAACCGGAAGCTTTAAAAGTACAAGGACGGCTAACATCGTGCGAAGTGAACGCGGAACGCATAGAGGACAAAGGGCCGTAGAATGGCAATTGATTTGTAAAGAGAATTGTACTTTTGCGCGGATGCGGGCCCCAATCCGTCGTTGTCCGTCTCCCTCAGAGGTTTGGTTTTTTTGACCAATTCGGGATCGTAGAGATCAAAGTCCCGGCGGTATTCGGGCTTCTGATGCGTCTGGCGAAAAGTGTCGATCTCCTTATTCACTTTTCTCCTTTCCTGCAATATAATGGACAAAAAGTCGATCCCGTATATTCTGAAAATTTTCAATGAAACACTAAAGAAAAAACAAAAGGAAGAAAAATGGAAAAGGAAAAGTAAAAAGAAAAAGAAGAAGAAGAAGAAGAAGAAGAAGTAAACACTCCGTACTTCATCCTGTTGCTTTGCGAGCATAATTGCCAACTTGCTACTGCGAAGCAAAGCCTCGTCTAAACTGCATTCCTTCTGCCTTTCCAAGTCGCGCTGCTGCTTCTTCTCCTCGACTTGCATGTCCAAAAACTCTTTATCTATCTACAACATCACGATGACAATGAGGTTTCGAAATCAAATTTTATGCCAAAGCGCTGAAAATTGATTCAACCCGATAATTAAGCAGCGCCTTTCTCAGCTCATACTTGTTGTTCTTTATGCTGGTGGTGCTGGTCATGTGGTTGATGATGTTGTGATTGTGGCGTTTGTGGTAGTGGCGGTGGTAGTGTTATTTATTGTGATTTTTATTATACGATAATTGTATGGACAGCATATTTTTGAACAAGTTCATCATAATTTATTGATTTTAACACGTATTTGATGGAGCGATTTTCGACGATGAAAAAGTTAACATAACGACGCACCGACAATACACTTTATATTACGTTTAATAAACTTTATGCATATTAATTAGGACTTTTCAATGCGTCGTCGCCATTAATTTAAAATAATAGAAAAAAAAGCATTGATATAGAAGTTGCTGGTATTATCAAGTAAACTGATATTATTGAAAGTTTAGAAAAAAAAAACTCAAGTGACCAAAACACGTGAGCAAACGTAAAGTAATGTCAAGTCTTAATTATACCGTTAGAATGACGCAATTAAAAATTGGATATAAAAATTACCGCTAACGAGTTTCCAATCCGAGCTAACCACAAAAAGCTAACGGCGCGTATGTATCTCGAAACGAATGGTTCTTACCCCAATTCGACGAACCCGGGGATTAAAAATCCTCGTCTTCCTCTGCTCCTCGATCTGGCGCTTCTTTTCGATCGCCGCCGCGACCTTGAGATCTTGGTCCGTGCATTTCTGTAACTCCAGCATGATGCAAGCGCACGATGCTCTTCGATAGGATCCGCGGCCTCCGATCAAACCAGCCGTCCAAAAGCGAAGAGAGGTGTTGGAACGAGCAGGTCAGCGGCCGGGCTTTACGAAGGCAAATAAAGCGAAGCAACGGGCGGAGAGCGAGAAGGAGCCTCGGTCGGGAGGTGTATGAAAGCGCGCGCGCACACACATAAACGCACTGGCAACACGCAAGGGACGCGCCCGTTGCTATGGATCGTTTGGAATCCCAGAGAATTAGAGCCGATAGACCCAACCACCTTACACTACTTAGCTTCTTTCGCCGACCCAAGCGTCGAGCTCCAACTACATTTATTCAAAGTCGTCGCTGCTGGCCCTTTTGAACGTCAATCCAATGAAAATGGGCGACGACGACGTCGACGAATCGAGCTCGACTAATTACGGCCGCTTGGCCTGCATTTTTTTTCGCTGTGTCTCAGTCATGCTTGACGCGCGCATTCGTAATACAGCGGTAATAATCGTACTTGGCGTTATCATAATTGCGCGGCAGGAGAAAAAAAAAATACTTATTTAATGGAGGAGAAAACATGTTGTCGCATTAAAAGTCTTGGTTTCTTTGTATCGATCTCTTTGTTCCCTATACGCCGAGCTTAATTTTAAGCTTAATAATTCTAATTGATGCTCTTCGGATTAAAACAAATGATATACCTCCTGACTGATATGCGACTGCGACGTATGATTATGCCCATGAATTGTTAGCATTAACGTCGTATATAATAAATAAATAAAAGCGTTGAATTAAGTGTAAGATGGGATTTGCGCATTAAAGTGATTTTTCACATTAATAAAAATGATGGAGCGCTTTTTAGATGAAATTATTCGCTTGATATAAGGAAGAAAATTTTAATTTTAATTTAGTGAGAATTTACATTCCGAAGCCCCTGTGCAATTGATTTACACATTTAGCCAATTAAATTTAGCTTATGAAGATTTAACGTAATCTCGTATTATTAATATTGCATATATTCTAAGATATCTCAAACTCATGCGCTATAATGCAATTTCCTAATATTTTTTTTTTTTCTTTTTAGTTCAAAGCGTTAGCGATTCGCGTTAATAATCGCGGAGCCGTTACATATCTACTATAACTTGAATAATTTAAAATACGTAATTTCATAAAGAAGTTTTTGATTTTTTATTGCGGTATTTTTTCTTTCTATTGCGAACTGCGTACGTATAAGAATTAATATTCTGGGAAAATAATGAATAAGTTTTTACTAAAAGCTTTAATTGTGATAAAATTGCAATATAAATTTTACAATTAAATATCTGCCAATATATAGCAACATATAATATAACAAAATTAAATATATTTCATTGCGCATATTTGTTATCATTTTAATTTGTATTAAATTTCTTAATTAATTTTTGACAACAAAAAAAAAAAAAAAAAAAAAAAATGAAAAAAAAAAAAAAAAAAAAAAAAAAAACTGATGAAGACAAAGTAATATTAATAATCAATAAATTAATTAGAATACAAAAATTAATTAAATAAACGGACAGTTAATAGGATCTATGTAAAACAATATTATTTTCATAGGTATAATTAAAAGCAATGATAATCTTATTGATAAAACAATAATATATAATATGAAATTTTCTTTTATCGATAAATGCATTATTAAATACAGTAAATATGGTAATACATTATTTTACTTTATGTTAAACATGTCGTTTAATTATTTCTAATTTAACTGATAAGAAATATCATTTAAAAGGGTTGATTTATTTTATTAAATATTATTCTAAATTTTAATTCACATTAGTTGGTCTATGTGACAAATTTACATCTCCATTGTCGAAATTACTGCTTTGATATAATTAAGCTAACAGTTTCCAACTAGTAAGTATTATGATATAAGCCGATAACAGCATCTAAATAAATTTCCATACACATCTGCAATTAGATAGTAATCAACAATTCAATTGTTTTTTTTTCTTTTATCAAGAATTCGATTAGGAATATTAGTATTTAATAAAAAAAAATATATACCAACTTGCTATATATAATGGAATTTACAATTTATCAATATTACGAATAAATTGTTTAATCAAAAAACATTATGATAGATAATTGTATTTTCAAAAATTTTATTATATTAAAAAAGAATTTGTGTCATTCAACATAACTTCTGTATTATAAGAGTATTACGATTAATTTTTAAATACATTTTGTTTTTTTTTTTTTTTTAATAATGTTAACTCTCGTTTAATACTACAGTCAATATGACTTTAAACATTATAATTGTGCATTCCGAGACATCGGAAATCCAAGCTTATAAAACTCTGTGTTGAATAGATATAATTTTATTACACATGATTATTGGCTCAGTAACTTGCATAACAGTTCTAACAATTTGTACTCTTAAATAAATAAATATGAGAAATTTTACAGGAAAAATGATAGATATGCTTGTAAATATAAAAGCTTATAGATACTGTCATTTTTTATTTTATCTTTTTTTTTCTCATTGATTATTAACATATACGTATTATATATTTTTTAATCTTACATCAAATAAATAGTTATACATAATTTCAATTTTAATACATTAATTTTTAATCAAAATTGTTTCATTTCAGCAATATTCCGTAAACTAGTGTAGAGTATTTATTTTCGTTATTATATCGTTTTAAGGAAATATTGTTAATTTTATAATTGTAGCATTAAATTTATCTAAGATAGTATTTACCTTAGTGAAGAATTTCTCATTATTAAGTCTCTAGCATTTTAATTATTGATAATTTATACTGTGATCATTAAGACACCGTAAACATTTTTAAAAATAAAGTGAAAACATGATGCTATTAAGTTTAATTGAGTCTTGTTTACGTAGTTACGGAGAAATTCAAAATGATTTTCCAAACACGAGTTCTGGCATTAAAAAAAAAAAAAAAAAAACAGCAGTACGCATCAAAGGTATATTTAGGAAGAAATTTTATCGTTAATTAACTAGCCGCAAAAATTTTGAGTTAAAGCGAAGGAAATTTCGAATTGCCTTATTTTATTTTACGAAAATTGCCTGTTGGTAGCGTCATACATGCGTAACTACACCCAATGTCAGGCTTCTGTAGTCACGTGACATGTCAAATAAATTGTTGGCTATTTGCATCGGATCATAAACGAGTTACTGTAAATTAAGTGTCATTTTTCATAAACTTGTCTCTAAATATCTCTGCTATTATTCAAAATATAATATAATTAAAAGAATCATTATCAATATTGTTCTTAATAATTAATGAAATTTTTTTATTCAATAGTAAGAGTCGAACGAGAAACATATAGAATGGATCGGACATGTTGTTTACAAGTAATGTGTATATGCACTTATGAAATGAATTTCAACTTCAAAGTTTACTCGAAAGTATTCTAGCAATATTTTTGTTTAAAAAAGCGATGTAAATTTAGTACACATTTTACTATATCAATGGAATAATAATAAATATTTTTAGTGAAAAATATTTTGTTCTCTATACTACGATTTACAGTTTTTTTTTTTTTTTTTTTTTGTACATATGACAATAAACAACAGTTTGTATATCGAAGTGTTGGCATTAATTTTACAATGTAAAAATATCATGAAAGTATTCATTAAAAAATTATTATCGATTCTATGAATGTAAATCGTAGAATTTAATAATTATTTTAGATAAGAAATATATGTATTTTAGAAAATATCGTAATGTATAAAACTAATAAATAAAACAAAAGGGTCAATATGTCATTTTCACATAAAATGATAACTGCCGTTATATAATATACAATCTTTAGAAATTTCTTCGACTATGATATATGTTTTTTATACGTGATATAACAATGTAAAATATTTGTTTTCTAAATGTTCCCATTTCGATTATAAAATACTTACATAATTGTTTATATCGCTGTAGTAACTATTCTGTTGACAATTTCTACGTAATCTTTATAATACATTACATCATTTGACAAATCATAATTCAAATTTTCTTTCAATTTGCTTTGAAATAAATGATGAATAGTTTGTTTTTTATCTAATAAGCAGTGTTGTCGTTTAAGTAATTTCTATACGTTCGAATACAAATAATTGCTCATAATTAGACGAAAACTTACACAAATCCAGGGATTTTAACTATTTTAGAATTTCCCACTGCATTCTACAGTTTTAGAAGATCAACGATCTCTTTTAAATTATTTCCTGGTGCAAGTTGAAATTGTAAGAACTCCGTTTCATATGAAAAGTTACTCAGTTACATAATTTAAGTAGTAGCATTCCTTCCTCATAATTATACATATGAAGCATGCCAGTATTTAATTGAAAACTAATATATATATATATATATATATATATATATACATATATATCTAAACATGTATACCTTATTGTTAACAATAATGTTATTGGTTACATTAACAATAATGTTTTGTAATGAAGTTTTTCAAAAAAATTATAAAAAAGAATCTCAAGTTATCGATCGATTTAACATTGAACAGTAATGATACTTACTTCTCTTTACATTGTGTGCATCCAACAACATCATCATCATCATCATCATTATTATTATTACTACTACTAATATTATTATTATTAATGTTTTTCTTGTTGTTGTTATTGTTATTATCATTATCTTTATCGTCGACCTCATCATCGTCATCATCGCGTCATTATTATGATCATGATCATTATCATTGCTATCGTCATCGTCCTCATCATCATTATGATTAATTACCTTTATTGATTTCCCAGCAGAAACGTCAAACGTATTTTCAATGTCGAGAAGAAGAAGAAAAAAAGTTTTTCCTTCGAGATTTTCGGCGTCTCACGACTGCGAGAGAAGACACGCATTATCAGCTCGCATGCGACGATCGATCGTCTCTTCTTCCGCCTCCGAAAATGGCTTACGCGCATCTCCCAGGCGATTCGTCGTTCGTACGTAACGAAGCGCGAAAAGTCGACCGTCGTCGTCTCCCTGCTGACGTCATTGGCGAACCGCCTTCGAGTCGACGAGGATA